TGCATTAGTTTGCTAGGGCTGCCGTAGCAAAGTACAACAGATTGAGTGGTTTATCAACAGAAATCTACTTTCTCAGAGCTCTGGAGGCTGAAAGTGCCAGATCAAGGTGTTGGCTGGTTTGGTTTCTCCTGAGGCCTCGCTCCTTGGCTTGCAGGCGGCCACCTCCTCCCTGTGTCCTCACGTGGCCTTTTCTCTGAGTACGCCTATTCCTGGTGTCTCTGCCTCTTCTTATAAGGACATTGGTTAAATTGGATTAGGGCCCACTCACAAGGCGGGGAGCCCACACCCTCCCCAGCACACAGGCTTGGCAGCTTTGGCTCCTCCCAGATGACTGAGCCCCCTGTAAAGGTTTGAGGGGCAGAGTAAATCCCCTCTCACCCCAGTAATAGTGCTTTCATTTTCTTTTAAAAAGATCTTATTTTTCCATCATTTTCCTAACTGCCAGCAAGACACAAAGGCACAGTGGGGTTCCGTGGAGGTCACACGGTTTGTGGTGAGATGTCTCCTTGTGTTTGATGGAGAAAGGACTGCAGCCACCCGTCTCCCCTCGGGCTCTTCCTGAGGCAGGCCTGGGAGGCGCAGGTATATTCCCTCCCTCCCCATTGTCTCAGCCTTCCTGGCTTCCAGACCCCATGGCTTCAGTTCCACAGCCCCGTCTAGGAAGGCCGTGCTCCGACCTTAGACCCAAAAGGAGAAGAGCTTTAGGGCAACCACAGAAGCTGATCAATAACCATGTTAGGTGCCTGAGTCCAGCTGAGCCCAGTCACAGAGCTCTTACATTGGGGAGGGCAATGAGCTTGGAGAAGAAACCAGTTTCCTTGGTCTCTTTTGTATTTTTCTCAATTTCTCCTGGTTTTCTCCTCCATGGTGGTGTATGGGGAGGGGGAGATTTTATTTTGTAAAGATTTTTTTTTTATATATATATATATTTTATTGATTTTTTACAGAGAGGAAGGGAGAGGGGATAGAGAGTTAGAAACATCGATGAGAGAGAAACATCGATCAGCCGCCTCCTGCACACCCCCTACTGGGGATGTGCCTGCAACCAAGGTACATGCCCTTGACCGGAATCGAACCTGGGACCCTTCAGTCTGCAGGCCGATGCTCTATCCACTGAGCCAAACCGGTTGGGGCTATTTTGTAAAGATTTTATTTCCCATAATTTTAAGGAGGAAAGGAGTCTCCCGTGTTGGTTTATTTGAGTCTCAAACCGATAAACTTGCCCTGCTTTTGACGCGAATCACCTTGAGGCCCTGGCCCAGACCTGTGGTCCATGGACGTGTGTAGAAGCAGCAGCGATGGCTGGCACCGAGGAACGCCGCGGGACACACACTGTAACAGAGCCTTTTCTCTCTGGCCCGAGGCTGCTTCCCTTCCTGCAGGCAGACCTCAAAGAAGTCCTGCTTCTGCTTCTCGGAAGGGAAAGGGAGTCCAGATTTTCCTTACTAACTTATTCCTCGTTGTGATGAAGGCCTTTCTCTTCACCCAAGGAAATCTTGCTAGCTGCGACTTCAGCATCAACATCAATTTTCTTTATACCGTTTTCTGCCTCCCAGGTTGGCCTTTCCTAGACGGATTTTGATTATTTTCTCTACCGTTATCATCAGAGAGAGAGGGAAAGGGGCATCCGGAGCCAGGCAGACCAGGGAGGGTGGGAGTGGCCAGGTGAGGCTGCAGGGAGGAGGTGGAACTTGGCTTGAGTGCTCAGAGGGCACGTTCTGCTTAAAAAGATCTTTCTGGACTCCCCTGACGTGGCACCTCTCTCTCCAAAGTTCATGTCTGCCCCAGGGCTCGTGCTGGGTTTTGGATGTGCTTCTGGTACCGCCATCCTCAAATGGCAGGACGGCTGTAAGGATTTGTTTACCCGACTCAGCCCTGGCCCAGGAGCTCCGGGACTGTGTCATTTGGCAGCCCCAGCCCCCAACTCAGCCCAAGGGCTCAAGAATGGGAGTGGAATGAAACAGGAGGGAATGAAACAGGAGTTCCGTTTAAGGCCAGGAGGAAAATGACAGCCCTGGGGCAGTGCGACAGGCAGGAGGGTCTCGCTGCCCCACGCTGGCCTCCCTTTCCCACCGGGTGGGCGGGGTTGCACTTGCTCATGGGGACCTGGGAAGGCTGATGGGCGAGCAGGTCAGAAAGCCAGACAGGACAGGGAGTTCTCCCTGAAGGTCCTCTGAGGGCGAGGCTGCATCTGGCTGTCAGGTGCATGGAGGGGTCCCAGAGAATCCACAGCCTTCCCTCCGGGGCCCTGGGACTTCAGGTCCACCTCGAAGGCCCTGGAGTTCTCATGAGCACAGAGCCCAGGGCAGCCGGGCAGCCTGGGTGGGGAGCGGCTCTGTGGGTGGCCAGCATTGAACGACCTCCCCAGATCTGTGCGTTTGGGGCCACCGGAGCCCACGCTGTGAGCCTGCGGAGGGCAGGAAGGAGAGACAAAAGAGGCCAGTGGGACGCGTGGTGCCGGGCTGCTCCCCGGCCACCCAGGAGACACCCTGAGGCTGTCCACCAGGCGGCCAGGGCAGAGCGGGTGCGGGCCTCCCCCGTGCCACCTCTGTCACAGTTCTCTAACTGTGGACTCTTCGTTTGTCAAGGGCCCTGCTAACCCCTCCCTCTCGGGACCCAGCGGGCCAGGCGAGGTAATGCCCATGCCCGCCAGCCACCTCGGGGAGAACAGGACGGTGGGCGTCCTGCTGTGACTGGTTGCCACCCCCTCGCCGCAGCACCAGCTCTCACATGAGCCAGGCGCAGAGCAGAGCAGCGCCCCGAAAATGACAGGAGTTCTAACCATGACTTGCATTTTTTAGAATTCTGTTTTTCTCTTGACCCAATTTAAAAAAAAAAATTGAGGCTGTGGCTCCTTTTCCTCTTGGGCCCCGGGGTGTGCTAGTTTGCCCGGCCGGGGGCGGGTTGTGTCCATCAGAAAGTGTGCAGGAGGGACCCTCGGAGCAGTCCTGGGAGGCAGTGCTAGGCCAAGGTCAGGGCGAAGAGCAGCCCCAGGCCCCGAGAGAAGGAGGCTGGTGGAGGGAGGGAGGGAGAGAGGGAGGAAGGGAGGGAGGAAGGCAGCAGGTCTGTGTGGAAGCCTCTCTTTCCCCCATGCAGCTTCTGCGCCTTCCTCACCAACACCAGCCATCCTGGAACCACCTGAGATGCTCTGAGAAACTGTCCATGTTGTTCTTTTCAACCTAACCGTCCAAGTGGAGGAGGCCTGGGGATTATCACAGCGCTCATCTAACGGATTCTGCAGAGGGCCACGCCAGCAGCCCCCCTCCCCTCAGGCTCCCCCCAGGAAAAGCCTCCCGGGCCTTTCTGTCCCCAGTGACCACAGGGATGTAGTTTCCTGATCTACTGCTCCAAACGCGTTTCCCAGGCGTTACGTTGTTTAGCACCAGCCCTGCCCTCACCACAATCCCCCGGCTCCTTCGCAGCCCCGGTGACTCACGGAGCCACGGCGCTGGGTGTGGTGGGCACGGACAAGCCACAGGAGCAGGCACCTCGGGCCTCAGCATGAACCACAGACGCGTGTGCACGGGCTGCCCGGTCACTTGCTGACACCTTGCACCCGCACCGCAGTTCGGCTTTAAAAAGCCGCCCTCACTTCCTCTCTGGCGGGGTGCTGGACCCAGGCTGCCTCCCCCTGCAGCAGGTGATAACGGGGGGACAGGATCCAGGCACAGATGTGCAGCAGCGAGGAAACTGCAGGGTCCCCAGGCACTGGGGGAGACCCAGACCTTGCCCCTTCTTACAGCTCCTCTTCTTCCCAGAGGCCGCTTCCCCCTGGTGTCTACCAGGTTGCTGACTGGGGCCTGCCCTCCCTGAGCTCTGGAGGGGAGATGGAGGCAGGAGGGACACACATTTGGGGAACCAGGAAAGGTCAGAGGTCATTTCCTGAGGAAGGACGAGGCCTATTGAAGAACTGAAATGAGACCATGTGTCTGGCACAAAAGAAAAAGGGTGAGTGGGGGCCCAGGAGGTACGTGGGGTGACCATGAGGGCTTCAGGCTGTGCGCACGCCTGTCTGGACTCCTAGGACAATGAGAAGCTACTGCACTGCTGGCCTTCGGATGCCCTCACCAGAATTATGTTCTGTGCGGCTTCAGTTCTATTTATCAGCCTGTTATTCTCTCCAAGAAAAGCTCCACCTAACACAGCTGGCATCGTAGGCCAGGCCGTGTGCTAAGTACTCTGCTTGCATGAGCTCCCTCCCTGGGGACCCACAGCGTGTCCAGGAGGATGCCGGGGCCCTATTTTGTCCCTGGCCCCCTCGGGTCTCCCCCTGCCCCTTTGCAATGGAGCCAGGGGCTGTGTTGAGCTCCCCAGGTGTTAGATGGGTGAGCCAGACTCACCCCTTTTTGATGTCACATCTAACATGCTCAGCATCAAAGGTTCTCACAACCAGAAGGACCCCTGACATTCACCTTTCACACACTCTCGCCTGCTGCTTGAACTTGACCCCCTAAAAACCACTACCAGGTGTCAGGAGGCCAGCGGCAAACACCCCTGTGGATTGAGTGCTCAGATGTAGTGGACACAGAGCTTTCCCCATCCTTCCCACCCCAAGAGAACTGCCCCCCCAGATGGCAGACCTCCCTCCCCCGGTGGGGGCTGAGGCTGCCTGGCCAGCTGACCTCAAGGGTGAGGGTGCCTGAGACAGGGGGCCAGGCGGGGCTGAGCCAGGGATGGGTACGCTCATCAATGCGCCATCAACACCCCCACTTTGGAAAGCAGAGACTGGGGGCGACTCATTCCCTCATGAAGTCCAGAACACCTGCTTCGGAGCCCAGGTAGGAACAAGGCAGGGCTGGTGAAGGGTGTCCCCTAACGACCATTTGTTGAGACACGACCAGGCCCTTGGCACATGCTAGACATGGTCCTTATCTTAATGACCAGGCATTCCACAGATGAGGGCACTGAGGCTCGGAGTGGTTTTCTAGCCCCAGCCACATGCCTCTTAAGGGGCACGGCTGGGGCTTGAGCCTGGAGCTGTCCAGGTTCCAGAGCTTGCATTGGCCCGTTCAGTGACAAGGCATCCCTTCCGTGGGCGCAGGGCGGCCTGAGCCTCTATGGCGAGCAGGAACCTGAAGAGAGGCATTGTTCCTATTGTTCAAACCAGTCTGCTCGGACGGCCTGGCAGTTCAGCCCCAACAGGCTAAGTACATCCCAGCAACTGTTGGCTGAGCCAGCACTGTGGCGGTGATGTCATGGGTGCCAAGCAACATTCCTTGTTCTGTTTACACCCGAGTACAAATTGGATCCAGAGCCCCCAAGTCCTACAGAGGTAGGTAAGCCTTGCTAGTGCCAGGTTATAAATTGCATGCAGCCACAAAACGCCTGAAAGGATTTTTGACTTTCAAAATATGATCCAGAGTCTCCAATAGATGCTGGATGTGGCTGGAGATGTGAAGAGGTGCTTCCTGGTCATCAAGGTAGGGCAGACAAGATAGCATCTATAGTCTGAACAAACCAAATGCAGGAATGTGTGTGTGTGTGTGTGTGTGTGTGTGTGTGTGTGTGTGTGTACTGCAGGAAGGCAGGGGAAGGCTGAGTAACTGGGAGGGTCTCTAGATGTCCCTCCCTAACTTCAACTGTTCCAATTCTGCTTTAATTTACTATGTGCACATTGGACGCCTTCTGCTAAAAGCAGCTTGAAACCCACTGCTGGGAGGGCATGGTGAGTTAAGGAGGAACTGTGAGCGGAAAGGTGAGGTAAGATCTGCATTTTAGGCATCTGGCTGTGCTTGCAGGGCGGAGCCTGGATTGGAGGGAAGCGAGGGCGGAGGTGCTCAGTCAGGTGCCAGGTGACTGCAGCATTGCTGGCAGCCAGAACGTACGCGAAGGCGGTGGAGAGAAGGGGCAGAGTAGAAATGTACTTTGGAGGTAAAAATCAAGGGCTCAGTGGCTCCTGGCATATGAAGATCAGGAAAGGAGGTTCTTCTGTAATTCCTGCTTCCAGTCTGGAGGGTGGTGGTGGGTGTTGCAGAGCTGGTGCACACAGTGGGGGGCAGTGTCTAAGGAAGGTGGATGCACCAGATAGGGCAGCTCCATGGAACATTCCAAGCACAGACGGTGAACTGGTAGCTGCCTTTTAGAAACTGGTGGAGAGCTCTGGGCTCTAGATATAAACTTGGTTTTCAACATAGAAATGTCATGTAAAGTTACATGAAGGGATGAGGTAACCAAGGGCAAGTATAGCTAGAAAAGGGCCCAGGAGTGTACCATGGGAAAGCCAACATTAAGAGGGGGCAGAGATGCCCGGCTGGCGTGGCTCAGTGGTTGAGTCAACCCATGAACCAAGAGGTCCCCGGTTCGATTCCCAGTCAGGGCACATGCCCAGGTTGCAGGCTCAATCCCCAATAGGGGGCATGCAGGAGGCCACTGATAGATGTTTCTGTCTCTCTTCTTCTCCCTTCCTCTCTCTCTAAAAATCAATAAAAACTTTTTTTTTAAAAAAAAAAAAAAAAAAGAGGGAGCAGAGAAATTAGAGCCAGGAAAAGAAACAGGACAGAGGCCATGTGCTAGTGGGCAGCTGGACTTGAGAGTCTGAAGTCGAGAGAAAGTACGAGGTTCAGATTTGTGAGTCATCAGCACCTTGGATGTCACTGACATGATGGGAGAGGATGGGAGTGAGAAGATGAGCCTGGTCGGGAGAAAGGGAGATGGTGAAGGGTCAGTGGAGCAGTATGACACTGAGGACAGCGTGGGTTCAGGAGCTGGGTCAGTCACGGTACTTCTGGCTGCAGGTCATGGCATAACTGACTAAAATTGGCTTGGAGTTGGAATGGTCTCACAAAAGGTCCAGAGGTAGGCAATCCCAGGGTTGGTTCAATGGCTGGACTGAGGGCGAGAATGCCGCTTTGCAGCTGGGCACCTGCACCAGCCCTGCCTTTGGGTGTCGCTCCAGCCCCCAGGCACGCAGGCCTGTTTGAGGTCGTGCAGCGGAGTGCATTCCTCTGATGACTTGCTTCTCCTCTGCACACAGAAGCGTCTGCCTGGAGGAGGTCAGAGAGGTGTTTAGGAGGCTGGGGCTGGCTCTAACAAGGGTTCATCTCCCCGGGGGGCGGGAGGGGGGCGGCTGATGAAGATTGAGTCCCAGGCTCAGAATTCTGACCCCGGGACCTCACAGCAGAAGGCAGAGCCCAATCAGAAAGCCGTGGCTGCAAGTAGGGCACTGGCCTGGGCTTTGTCGTCGCCCGCTGAAGACATCCACCGCTCCCGGCGCTTTGTGCTGGCTCCTGGCTGCGGCTCCATCAAGGCGACAGCCTCCGTCTGATCTCCTCCTTTGCAGGAGCTCGGGGAGAACAAGGCGGCAGCCTCATTTGTCTGTCTGAGATGGAGGCTCTCAGAGCCAGGCAGCTTGGAAAAATGAGGCGATAAAAGAGGCTGGCCAGCAATTAGGTAATGCCCGCCTGCCTGCAGGGCAGCCCCACATGGAACCTGTCCTGAGTTCACTGGGGGGTCCAGAGGAGAGCAGACGCGTGGATTCTGTAAATGGAGGTGCACAGCCACGCATCAGAGGAACGACCAGGGTCTGTTGGGAAGGACGGATGCTGTTACATAGCCCATGACCTAATGTTGCTGAGCCTCACCTATGCAGTGGGGTGGAGAAAGGCTCTATCAGTAATGCCTGGCTCCTTCCTTGTCTAGTGTGACTTCAGGCCAGCAGCTTGCTGGGAGGAGCTAACGCCGGGCAAGCAGCCCCCAGGCGCAGGCTGGGTGTGAGGACCTGCCATGGCCCTCCTCCTCCTCCGCAGGTCCTGGGAGCCAGAGGCCGTGCTCAGAGCTGTGTGGAGCCCCCTCCTTGGCTATAGGCCCCTCTGGAGATGGCAATGGCTCCTCCCACACGACTGCCAATTCTTCCCCTTGCTTTCCTCCCAGCTTCTCTGTCAGGGACAAACAACATCCTTGGCTTCTTCATTTCTCTGCATTTTCTCCCAGGCTAGTCCTCTTATTAAAATAAAAAATCTCCACTCAAGGCCCAGTTCTTCCTTCCTGCAGATTTCGTTGCAACACGCTCGCCCTCGGGAGAGCCTTGGGCCCCATAAAGCCCCAGGGCCTCTCCTCCAAAGAGCTGACGCTCTCTCTACAGCCAGGTACTTTTTTTGGGTGTTTGTTTGCCTTTTTTTTTTTTTTTTTTAAAAGTATATGCAAGCCTGTGTTTCTATGTGGGGTATGGGGAAGCCCGGAAGTACTTTGGTCCTGGGTTCAAGTTATGATTTCACAAAGTACTAGCTATGTGATTGTGGGAAAACCCCTTAACCTCTCTGAACCTCAATTCCCTCATCAAACAGTAGTTTATATAAATGTTTCTCCCATGTGTTGTCTCAGCAGCTTCTCAGAACAGCCTTATAAGGAATGGTTAGAAAGTCTACATGACGGACGGAGAAACAAAGGCTTTGACAAGCTCCCTTAACAGTGTGTCTGAGACACATAGCTGGTGACAGAAACCTGACTTGACTCTCAATTCCCTACTCTTCCTACAGGATCAGGGGAGGTGAGGATATCTTGCCGGCTACTTCTCAGAGCTATTGTGAAGGTCAAAGGACTTCACCCATTTGTTATTTCACAGACATTTGTTGAGGGCCATGGAGTGCCAGCCTTGGTTTTCTGGAATGAAGGGTTCTATACGCTGTAAGGAGCTGGGCAGATGCAAACAAGAGTGGGTCCAGGGTGTGGTCCCACTCCCCTAGGGGAGTCTGCCCAGCCGCCTTTCAGAAGAGCTTAGCACTTAGCAGAACACCTGGCCCAGCCCACCCCCTAGTCCTCGAGGAGCCATTCCCTTCCCTCTCCGGACATCCCTTCCTAGGCCCTCTCACAGTCAGCCTCACCACACGCTGTCTGGGAGGTACCATCCACCCCATTTTACAGAGAAAGAGGAATTCAGGTCCCCAAGGGCAGTGGGGCTCAGTCCTTGGCTGCATGTTCGAATTACTGGGAATCTTTAAGAGCCCAATGCCCAGGCCAAATCCCAGACCATGAAATGAGGAACTGAGGCTGGGCCCTGGCAGCAGTGTTCATGCTAACGCTGCTGGCCAAAGGCAAGTGCAGCCGGGAGGAGAGCTGCTCTCTTGGTGGCCAGCACCCACCGTGGATGCTGATGCCCAGGAGTTGTCCAGGTCCTTGGTTCTCATTTGGGGTGGATTGGGGCTCCCTCCCGACCAGCCCTGGCCCTTTCTAGCTGGGTGCCCTTGGGTGTGGTAGGAGTTGCAGTGGCCTGTGGGTCAAGTGACTGGCACCTGTCAGAGGCTTCATGGTTACTCCCTTTCTCTTTCCCTGGCTGCTGCCCAAATTTGGGTTCGTTTTCTCTTTCTTCACATCTCCTCCAGGGGAAGTGAAACTCAGATCAGTTCCCCCTCTCCCTGGCAGCACGGCCCAGAGGCTGGAGGGACCGTGGGAATCAGAGGGAGAAGCTTTGAGGGGCAGCTGGGTCTGGAACTGGCGGTTCCTTCTCCTCGTTTGGCCAAATCTGGGGATGGAGATTAAGCACAAAGAAAGTCTGCTCTGGGCTGCGCGTGTCCCCCCCAGCTCCTGAGGGTCGGGGCTTCCTTAAAGGGGACAATGGTCATCCTTCTCTATCTGTGGAGGGAGGTCTGAGAGGCCAGGATTAAGGGCTCCCTGGAGGGCCAGCTGGCCAGCAGGCAGCCAGAACCACCAGCTTCCCCAGGTATTTGTGGGCCAAAGGCAGTTACTGAGGGTGGAGCCCAGCAAGGTGCCTGGAGCTCTAGGAGCTCCGTCAACCCCTGCCTCTGCCTTGAAATAGTATTCCTTGGTCTTTTCTTCTGTTCCTCCTGCCCCCCACCCCAGCTCTTCCTGCAGGACTTCTCCCCAAATCTGTTAGAAGCATCCGTGCTGCCTCAGGAAGTCCAGGGTTTGTTTGTTTAATATATTTTTATTGATTTCAGAGAGGAAGGGAGAGGGAGAGACAGAAACATCAATGATGAGAGAATCATTGACCAGCTGCCTCCTGGTGCCCCCCACTGGGGATCCAGTGCGCAACCCGGGCATGTGCCCTTGACTCGAATCGAACCTGTGACCCTTCAGTCTGAAGGCCGATGCTCTATCCACTTAGCCAAACCAGCTAGGGCAAGTCCAGGGTTTTAAAATGTTCAAAACAGGCCTTTAAGAATTGTCTCAGTGAGTTCATGCTGCCATAACAAAATACCTCAGACTGTGTGGCTTAAACAACAGGAATTTATTTTCTTATAGTTCTGGAGGCAGGAAGCCCAATATCAAGATGCCAGCAGGATTGGTGTCTGGTGAGAACCCTCTTCCTGGCTTGTAGATGGCCACATTCTCACTGTCCTCACAGGGGGAAGGGAGGGAGGGAGGGAGGAGGGAGGGAGGGCACTTTGTGGTCTCTTATAAGGACACTAATCCCATCTAACCCTAAGTACACCTCCAAATAAAACCGAATCATGGTTTAGAGCAGTGGTTCTCAACCTGTGGGTCGCGACCCCTTTGGCGGTCGAACAACCCTTCACAGGGGTCGCCTAAGACCATCCTGCATATCAGATATTTACATGACGATTCATCACAGTAGCAACATTACAGTTATGAAGTAGCAACGAAAATAATTTTATGGTTGGGTCACAACATGAGGAACTGCATTTAAAGGGCCAGAAGGTTGAGAACCACTGGTTTAGAGTGTCAAGGTGTGAATTTTGAGGGACCCAATTCAGTCCATAGCATTCCATCCTGCCCCCCAAATTCATGTCCTTCTCCCATGCAAAACATATTCATTCCATCCCAACAGCCTTAACTCATCCCAGCATCAGCTCCAAAGTCCAGCCTAATCTAAACATCATCTAACTCGGGGATGGTGAAACTGGAGCTCTAACTCCTCCTGAGGCAAATTCCTGTCCTGCTGTGAACCTGTGGAACCAGGTAAGCACATGCTTCCAAAACACATGGTGGGACAGGCACAGGACAGGCATTTCTGGTCCAAAGGGGGAAACGGGAAAGAAGGAAGGGGTGATGGGTCCGAAGAAAGTTCAAAAGTTAGCAAGGCAAATCCCACCAGGTCACCAGGCTCAGACTAATCCTCTTCGGTTCAGTGCTCTGCCTTCCAGACCCACCTCTGCAGCTCTTCCAAGTAGGGGTGGGGGGCTCCCTCAAGGCTACTGAGGGGGTGGCCTGATCACCTCTGAACAGCCTTCAGGGTCCTTCTTCCCTTTCCTTGAAGAACAGTGTTCATTTCCAAAGGAATGGCTCTTTGGGCTGGCCCGTAGCACCTCAGAAGTCCAACAGGCTTCCTCCATTCTGTCCTCTCTCTGTCTCCTTTGGTTCCTCCTGGCAGCACCTTTGCTGGTATGATCCCATCTCTATTCCTGGCTTCCACTGAGAGGACTGATTGGATCTCTGGTCACACCCAAGATCTCTGTATGAAATGGGTGCTCAGCCACACCCTATGTTCTATCAGAACAAGCTTTCTCTTTTTTTATTTTTTGCAATATGGCAGACTTCTCCAAGTTCTGGTTCCTTTTTGCTTAACAGGTCTTTCTTCCATTCATCTCTTCCTTTTGCATTTCACTCTAAGGATTCAGGAGAAACCAGGCTGCTTCCTTCAATACTTTGCTTAGAAATCTCCTCAGCTAAATATCCAATTTCATGGCTCAAAACCTGTACCTTCCACAAAATACTAAAACACAGTTCAGCCAGGTTCTTTGCTATTTTCCACAAGGATCGCCTTTTCTGTAGTTTCCGATAACATGCTTGGCATTTACATCTGAATCCCCTTTAACACCTGTATTTCTAGCATGCACCGAACCTCAGTGTAAGAAGAGCAGCCCCACGTGCAGGGACAGTGCCAAGCTGCCATGCGGGAGGCCAGTCAGCACCTGGAAGCTGTGCCTGCAAACCATCCCCCCTGCTTTCAGACGGCACTGGGCGGGGAGCCACATCAGGGTGCGTCCCTCACTCGGATGGGCCTCTGCTGAAGGCTGCCCGCAGGTCACCAGGGGATCAGATGTGTGTTTGTACTCAGTTTCCCAAAGCCCCTCTAACTGGTCCCATATAAACACCAGTTTTCAAAGGCCCAGAAGAGCCAGAATGTCTCCAATGGAAGGGAGCCTTTGCACCCAGAGGCGGGCTGATGCGGGGAAAAGAATCCCACCGTCCCAGCATTGGTGGGTCAGGAGAGTAGAGCGCCCCTCTCCATCTTATGGGATGCATGTGACTGGCAGCACAGGGTAGCAGTTTGGTCCCCAGGCCTGGCAGACTGCAGTGTTTAAGTTCTGGCTTTGCCTCTTCCTAGCAGAGTGATCCTGGGTTAAGTTTTCAATATCTCTGTTTCAGTTGTCTCCCCTGAGAGGTGGGAGATGAAAATAATTCCCATCTCGTGGGGTGACGTTAAGAATTAAATGAATTGATTCAAGTGAAATGTTTATACTAGTTCCTGGCACACAGTAACTCCTCAAAAAAAAAAAAAAAAAAAAAAAAGGTTAGCCATTAGGGTGCACTCATGAGAACATGCCTGGCTAGTATCTGACAGCCAATCAGGAGTGAGAAGGCAATGAAGAGGCGTGGTCAAGAGCAGGGGCTGCTGGGGGAACAGGTGTGGCTTGAGATGGGGTGGCCTTGCTACTTAGTCTCTCTGAGCCTCAGTTTCCTCATTTGTAAAGTGGGAATAACACAAGCAAATCCCTTCTTATAATACTTGGTGGTAGGAAGTATAAAATAAATCGATAAATCGTTACAACGACATTTTTTAGATGAGAAAACTGAGGCCCAAAGACCTTGGAAACCTACCTTAAGTTACCAGCGAGTACGTGTGAAAGCTGAGATTTGAGTCAAGCCCGTTTGCCGTCAGAGTCATGAGTCCACACTTCAAACAAATTGTCGAAAATATAATGTATTCATCCTTTTTATTTTTCCATTCGGGGCTATGAACACGATTAAGATGACATTTGCCAAGCAAGGGGGGAAATTGCTCCTAAACCTAATCTTCAGTGAATTTTTTCTCTCTATCCTCCTTTGATTAACTAGCAACCTTTAAAGTAGAGCTTATATAAAAAGCCATTCGAGCTGCCATCTACCTAGACATAACAGACTCTTCTGGGGGTGCATGTCCGCTGGTGGCTGAGTAGGCTGAAGCTACAATATATCCAAATCCATAGACTGGAATGACATCCCTAAATTCAAGAGGTAACAAACAGTGGCCGCTGATGCAGCTCTCAGGAGGCAAACACTACCGCACACGTAGGAACTCCTGCCTGAAGTTGTGGCCCCCCCGCGCTCATACATGACACAGGCTCGGGGGGCCTGGGGTCCCTGGACGGACAGCCACCTCTGCCAACTGCTCTTTGCGGCTCCGAGGGCAGCCCCAACTTATGTTCACTGAGCAGCACCCACTGTGGCTCACACGCATGTTCACGGGAACCTCTACAAAAGCAGTGACTCTCCAAGGGAAAGCCTACCAAACCACCTGCTTACAAAACACGCGGGCACTTGCTGACATGCAGATCCCACAGCTCTACCCCCCATCCCCTGCGCACAGGCCTCCCCAGGACCCCAGGCCAGCACCCTCAGGCCACACCCCCCTCCCCAGGCCGCTGTGGGCCATGGAGCAGCCGGGGATGGCCCTCCCTGGACCATCGCTACGCAGCTGCCGCGGATCGTGAGCCCCGGAAGGTGGCCTCCTCGGGGACAGCGGCTCCTGGGGCGGAGGGCGCTCGGGGTGACCTTGGTGATGTACTGCACGGGGTGGGTAACCGGCTTTGTACAAGAGGAGCCCCGCTTCCTGGCCTCGGTCCCTGCAATCCCATTAGACGGGGCGGCCTCGGGAAGGGGGCGCCTTCTTCCGGACGGGGGGTGGTGGCGGGGGCACGTGGCCACACGCCCGGAGGGGGAGCCGTGACTCAGCTTCGGAAGGCGGCGCCCAGGCCTGGGCTGTGCGGGGCAGGAACAAAGGACCGACCCTCCCGGGCCACGGCGCACCTGCCCGCCTTCGCCCCCTCCCTCTCCTCCCCTCCCCTCCCCTCCCCTCCCTCCCTCCCTGCCCCTCTGGGAGGCGGCGGCGGGCAGCTGTTGCCGGGCAGGCTGGGCTCGGGGCGGCCGCGGTTGGCTGGCCCGCCGCCCCCGCCCTCTGAGTCATCCGGTGCCGCCCCGCCCGAGCCCAGCCGCAGCCGCCGCCCAGCCCGCGCCCTGCGCCTGCGCGCTGCGCCCCGGTGGCCCGGCGCGGGCGGGGACCGACCCCTCGCCCGCGGTCACCCCGCAGCCGCTGTCTGTGCCAACGCGGGCGCCGGCGGGAAGGAAACCCGCACGCTCCCTGCCCCGTCACTGGGTCTTGCCCCGCCTCCCTGGGCTGGTCACCCCTGCGCGGCTCTGCCCGGCGAGGAAGGGGCCCGCCGCCCGGGGCACCCACCTTCACAGCCCCGGGCTCCTCAAACTCCTGCCCCGGGCTCGCCACGCTGCTCCCCGTTAGAACCACCTGGGGGCTTTCAGATACCCTGGTGCCCAGGCGGCACCCGACCCGTTCAATCAGAACGCGGTGCAGGACCTGGGCGTCAGCGTCTTGCACAGCTTCCCAGGTGAATCCAGTGTCCTTTCGGGGTTGCAGACCACGACCCAGCCCCGGGCTCCTCAAACTACTAGGCATTGAAGTCACCTGGGAGCTTTTTAACATGCAGGTTCCCGGCCAGTAGGTCTGGGGCGGGGCCTGGGGGCCTGCATTTCTAAGGAGCTCCCAGGTGAATTGTAGGCTGTTGGTCTGAGGGTCACACCTGGAGCTGCAAGACACCCACGCTCCTTGTCCCTTCACCCTTTCTCTCGCATCATATTAGAGAAGGGGGCTTTGGGGCAGGGGTTTGAACTCTACCTCTTGGGGAAATTGTACCCCAGGTCTGGGTGTAAAATAGTGACGATCAGCTGTACTAGTGGCTAAGCTCTCCGCTGGCCCCTCATGGCAGAGTCTGCTGGGAATGACAAGCAGGGGAAGGAGCCTTCTGGTTCCTCCTTCCTCTTCTCCCTTACAGGACTGGGTTGGAAGCCAAAACACTCCACTCTCCTGGGGGAAGAAGGGGTGCAGAAAGGAAGGGGAGGCCAGTTGTGGGAGTTGGAGGAAGGGGGGGTCAGCATGAGAGCCCTCAGGAGAGTGGTGGGGCCATTCATGTTGATGGTGGACTCCTTCCTTGGTACCGCTCTCCTCAGCCGCCAGCAGGATGTGTCTCTGCTCACCTAAACATCAAAAGGCCTTTCAAAATGAGAGCTAAACGAGCTATTATTAAGATCAGTAATAATAGCTGTTCAGGAATCATTAATTCAGGCCAAAGCCCAAATAATGTTCCGATTCGGACACAAAGAGAACGGGAGGGAGAACCGTGGCATCAACAGAAGGGAGGTATTTCTGTCGGTGTAGATAACATAGTGATATTCTAACCAATGTTTTTAAATTTTCAATCTGGTAGCCACCCGTCCAGCAGTCATAACAACTGCTTCCTTGTTATCTTTGCAGGCAGTTTTGGGGGAAACAGGGTTGCTGAAGCCCCATCTAAAGGTCATTCTGCCCTCTTTTGGCATTTCAAACGTGTGAGGCCTAAGTTGTGCAAGGCAGTTCCTCTGGCACGGTAGCGCTGGCTCCATTTCTAAGTGGCTTTGTTTTTATTCTTGTTTCTATCTCATTTGGTGGCCTGGGGAGGGAGTTGGAAGTCAGAGGTTCTGGATGAAAGCTTACTGCCTCTCTTGGGACTGGTGGCGGGGACCACGTGCAAGGAGGGTGCTCGTGTCATGAGACGTGTGACTGCTCTGTTAGGATCTGCCCAAATGCAAGCTCAGTTAGGATTTGCTCTTCTTCTTTTTTGTTGTTGTTAATCCTCACCTGAGGATATTTTTCCATTGATTTTTAGAGAGAGCGGAAGGAGGAGGAGAAGCAGAGGGAAACATCGATGGGAGACAGGGGATTGAGCCTGTAACTGAGGTACGTGCCCATGACTGGAATCGAACCCGGGACCCTTCAGTCCATGGGCCAACGCTCTATCCATGGAGCCAAACCAGCTAGGGCAGGATTTGCTCTTCTTAACGCACGTGACGTTGTAAGACTATTTCCTTTCAAATTATAGGGTTGTAATGTCGCTCCCATGGGCAGCTCAGTAGGCAGGATTTTTAAAACCGACTTTCTTCTGCCGAGAGCCCATGGGCTCTGACAGCCAGGGCCTGGGAGCTGAGCTGTGGGGCGCTCTGGTCCTAGAGCCACCCACTCTCCAGGCCCCGGCAGTCTTCTCTGAGCACTGCTAGTTCCGTGTCCCCAGTGTTGTTCTGTTTTCACACCCTCCTCCCCGGACAGTCAGCCTGTGACGGCCAAGGACTGCGTCCCACTCCACCTTGACTTCCCATCACCCAGCAGAATGCTGACCCCCCCTCAGTGCTCCCTAAGTGCTCATTACCGATGCAAGCATCGCAGGGTTGGGACCTGGGGCAGGCACCTCACTACTGTTTTTTCATGGGCTCAGTTTTTTTTCATACATAACACGGACTTTAGACTAAACTTGATCTCTTAGGCTCCCTCTGATCCTAACAGTCACTGACTTATTCTTCATCGGATCACAGTCCCCTTGATTGGCCTTCGCCAGCTCCATCCTACATTGGACATTGGTTTGAGGTTGGCTCCTGACTCAGGTGGGTGGGTGAGCTTCATCAAGTGATGGCAAGGGCCCTGCTGGTTAAGGTCTGAAATGCCTTTCATTTTTTCACTAAATTCCTCTTGGCGAGGCCATCCACGTTTATTTTTAGAGGCACATTGGGCTGATCATTTGGGGCTTTTGGAGTTAGTTTTCTCTCCCCCACTTACTTTGGCAGCTTTTGCAACATCCTTGGGCATGGCTCCTCTGTGTCCTCAGTGGAGCCAACATCCCCTGCCCCATTTCCTTTGCCTGGGGTTCTCCCATGGGCAAAGAGAATGTGCAGACTGCCCAGATCAAGGGAGTGCCCCCCCCCCCCGGCCTGCCCCTGCAGTGTGTGACATGGGCACTGGACTCAACTGGTCACACAAGAACATTATCTCTCAGCCACAGGATTAGATGAGTGACGCCAGTGCCCATCCCCTCTAAAACGCCCTCCACCTGTTAGAGCTGAAAGAGTCAAAATAGAATGTACTTTCCAAAGGGAGTCTTTTCTGTTCCAGGAAGGCTGCCGCGGTGGGATTTTCTGTAACATTGGCCCAATGCTTGGCTACCTGCCACTGACAGTCACCATGTGTGGTGCTGTCTGCAAAGATGGCCGTGCCCAGGCGTCCTAACTGGCACATGCCGCTCCCGCTCATGAAAAAGCGGAGTCTGTTCCCCTCCCGCTGAGTCTAGGCTGGCCTTGGGACTGGCTTTGACTAATAGGAGGAGACAAGGAGCTCTGTCCGGTCCTGGGCCTTGGCCTTGCGCTCTGTAC